CAAGCGGACTTTTGTGCAGTAAAACAACTGCTACTCAAGCTCCAGGGGGCCCGCTTCCCCCCCTCCCCTCCTCCCCGCATCTCCCCGCCTTGGGTCCGCCAATGCTCAACAGTAGTCATCATGTTCAGAAGTAATTGCGCACTAAGTTGATCGTGTAGGGAATCCCAAATCGCGAAACCAGGCATAAAGCTGACCACACTGCAGCCGGCTTGTATGGCATGAGACTTGAAATTGATGTTGGTTCGGGATTTTAGGATCGTGATAGCGTAAAGCAGTTCTAGTAATTTGAACAGTTATATTTTTCTTTTTTGAAAATCGCGTTTAATTAGCAGTTATTTTTATTTAAGCGCGTGACAAGGCATCAGAAAAAGCTGATAAAGCACGTGAAAGAGTGGCTGAAATTAACGCCAAAATTCAGGAAGTGTATGAGCAAGTTGTGGGGCCATTCCAGAAAGAGCTTGATGAAGTACAGGCAAAGTAAGTTTTTCATATTTATTTACCGTATATTTTAGTGATCCATGACCTTGGTTTCTTTTTTGTGACTTTGAAATATTATGATAATGGCACTTTTTGCGGTAATTTTTTTTTGGGGGGGAATAATTTCGATTCTTTTTCTGCTTTATTCTCCAAAGACTTTTTATTATCAAGGATTCGTATGAAATGTTAAAAAAATTTAAGGAAAGAATCTGCATCGAAAGGAGCAACGAAAGAGCAAAGCGCACTCAATAATGCTCAGAGAAATATGAACAAAGCGTTAAGCAGGTATGAAAATTGCTACTGATCATGAAGTGGTAGTACTATTTCTGAAAATTGCAAGTTTAATTGTGCCAGTGAGGAATTTAACTCCACCTTCCCCCTCCCTCCCCCCCTCCACCCCTTTTCCTTACCTCGAACTTTTCATTTTTTTCAAGGGTAAACTGGCACTGGTGAATGTTAGGGGAGTCAAAACTGTGATCATCGGAGGGTTTTTTTTTCTTTTGATTGTATCTGGAATCACTGAAATGCGACATCAAAGGCAGTGGTCTGGTTTGAAACAGAGAGTTAAGGAAGACAAGACACTTTTTATATATTTTTGGGATGTCTGATCTGATCAGAATTTGTGTGATAGAAACCTTAAAATGCTTAGTTATTACGAATTTTTAATTCGAAAAAGGATTTTTCTTATGTTTGTTGATAAGAGGAGAATGCATTTAGATACGTCTTTATTGTTGATTTCCTGCTTTAATTCCTATTTAAATTTTAGGAAAAACGATCTCGAGATGGATCATCGTGAAACCGAAGAGGCTATTAAAAGAATAGAAGAAGCGGAAGATTGCCAGGAGGAAGACAGTAATCGTTTGACGAAGGAGTTAATTCAGCAAGAGGTTTGTGCCATTGCGGTTGATTACCAAATACTCCAGCATTATCTAATCTTATTTTCCTAATATTACCGGAATAAGCAGAGCAGGCCTGAATCGGCTTAAAAACAGTAAAAGACGAATTTTCTTGGATGGAGGAGATAAGTTCAGTAATATGCAAAAAATAAGATTTTAGTCGGACCACTTGACTTGTTTGTTTACAGAAATCAATGAAAGAAGCCGAGGGTAAAGTGAAGGAAGCTTTAAGCAAGAACTCCGAACTGGACGCTGAGGAAGTGGAACTCAAAAAGAAGTGTGCCGACTTAACACGGGCTCTTGCTGAACAGCTGAAGTTTTTGGAGCATAAGAAGGGAAAATTAGCCGCAATCGAAGGCAAAGTAAGATTTTTATGCATTATCGGAAAAGGGCATTCTTGAACGGACAGATTTGTCTGTTTTGTTTGTTCTTCCACGTGTTTGTCCTGTAAAATTTGAGCTTTTTGAAATTGATGTATAAGTTGATTTCGTGGATCGCTAGTACAGTACCTGGCAGTTTCGCTTTCAT